TACATATGAACAGGATATGACAAATTAATTCACTTAAAATATGAAATTAAGTATTAATCAGGGCCGGTTCTACCTTTAATGCAACGCATGCTAGATATACGAGCGCACGCCTTAAGGGGCGCCAACACTAGATTCGGATATTAAATTTTCAATATAGTTTTTTTTCAAGATATAATTTCTTTGCATCTTTACTAATCTTTCCACAACATTCTTGAAATTCGTAAAAATTTCACTCTATAACAACAAATGGGAAAGTAAAGATGAATACATACAATTCTGCCCTCAGGAGAAGTTTAAGATGCAATTTTGAATGTATTAAATAATAAAAAATTAAATTATTTTAACCAACATGAAGTACCAGTGGTATAGTTATGGTTATGTTATACCGTTTAAAAGACTTCAATTTTAATTCAAGATTAATAGAGTGTTGGAATTGAGACTCATTTTATTTAAAGCAGTTCTACATTTAACATCGCTCATATTATAAATGTATATGTATTTTGGCGTGAAGAGTAATTTAAAAAACAATAATTATTATTTTTAGGTAAACGGTAAATATTAGTATATTATTTGAAAAATTGAAGACATGGGTACAGGACAACGTCTGTCGGTCATCTAGTTGATAAAATAAATGTTGAAATGTTGATCGTCATTTTAAAAGTTACTAAGTCTCTATATTTTTGATTGATCTTTAAATTCACAAATGTCGGCCAGGCTATGATCTTTTTCAACAAAAAATAAAAAAACAAGTTAGTGTATATATGATATAGTGCAAAATTATGTGCCTTGCGCTAGCTACTGATATCCACTGATGATGACATAAAATACTATGTCGAACGTTTTGGAAAAATTAAAGATTAACTTCTAAATCTTTGCCTTTATTTGATGTATTGCCCTTGAAGAACTTACTCATAAATATAATCTATCTAGCCTCATATTTCTCATATCCAACTAATTATTTTGACTCTGCATAAAAATTCACACCAACCCTCCATCTATTACAACCGAGCTAGTGACCTGCCTCTCCGCCGCTGCAACGTCGCCCTCCGCCTTTCCTTCCACATCCATCCGCAAAGCCAACGTCGCCTGACGTCACGCGAAACACGCTCGTCGCTCGATACTAGAACGAACCAACGAGTACCCAACAAGAGAGGCGAAAGACGGGCCGATCGAACGCACGAACCTCCGCGCATGCCCGGCGAACCGGTTGGACGGATGACCGAGGACGAAGAGACGGAGGACGGAGAATATTATATACAGTTGTGTTTAAACAGACGTGTTTAGGTGGCTCTGATGGGTACATGGGTGTGTATGGGTGTATGGATTGAACACGATCACGAACCAATACATTGCAGGAGGTAAAGAATGCATATGGGACGAGTTGTAGGTATGCATTGGTGTGGAAGAATTGTGTCGAGCGTTGGCGGTCGGGGTGAGGTCCTGGGGCATAAAATTTATTATAATCAACTAATATAGGGTATGCCATCTTACATTTTTCATTTTCATTTTCATTTTTTTTTTCAACGGTCAGCCGAGGCTTTTTTCTTCATTTTTGAATGAAATTATTAAACGAATTAATTTCATTATGAACCGAAAGGATTGTACTTTCAAATAAAAAAAGAAATTTGAAAAAAATATTCAGTAGTTTTTCAAATAAAAATAAAACTACTTGGCAGACCCTATATATGTTGTACCAATTAAACTTTAACCAATCATAGTAGAGTCTAAGAGAGTCCAACAGGGCTATTTTTGAATAAATTCTTGCTTGTATTATTACTTGTCTATTGTAAGATTAGATTAGATAAAACGAGGGATTTTATGAATTCTTTCATGCAATCTACTTTTGTTGAGAAAATTATTTAATCTTTATAGAGATTAAAATCTCCTCACGATTCGATATTTCTGTAAAGAAAACATATAAAGTATTATACATCGTTAGAAAGGTCGCAAAATTCTTAGTTTTTTTCCCATATATCGCAACTTCGAATTCCGAACGGTGTGGCCTACAGGCAAGTTGCTGTCGTAAAATTTCAGGAAAATCGGTAAATCTCGAGAAAATTATATGAACACACTTAAGCATTTATATAACATTTTATTCATAATTTTATTCTGTATCTTTCGTACGAACAAATAGGTTTGGTTTCAGAAAGCATGCTCCTTTTCATACTTCTAGCTAATATTTGAGAGTTAAAACAAATGAAGTCGATAAATACATTAAAATCACGTCTACTTGATTCATTTCGTAATCAGCACTTGAAGACATTTTTAACTTCCCGTAGGGTAGTTTTAGCAATGGCCGAAAATCGAAAATGAAAATTTTTGCATTTTTCGACGTTTTGAAGGTTTTTGAACATTTTACTGGCATACCTCAGAAAAAATGGATGTGTGTGTATGTGTTTTGTATGTCTGCATTTTTTCGTCCACGTTTTCGGGCGCACGGATCAATCGATTTGAATGGTTTGAAAAACATTCGATTCATTTAAGGAGATATGCTGTTTAGTTTTTGGCAAAGGCAGGTCCAGCCGTTACGGAGATACGGAGCAAAGAGTGCAGAAAATACAAATCGAGTTTTTGAGAGAACGCAGTATCGGATTTGAATGATCTGAAAAAAACATTCAATTTGTAATGATTGGGAAATGAGGTGTTTTGTTTTTGGCAAAGACAGGTCCCGCCATTTGGAAGAAACAGAGCTAAATGTGCAAAAAATTGCAGTTTTTAAGTGAACTAAGCGTTCGATTTAAATGATCTAAAAAACTTTCTGCTTGTGTTGAACAACAATTGCTTTTGAGGTTAAAAAATTATTACATCTTTTTTTTTCCATAAAATGTTTTTGTAATTGTTCTAGATTAAAAATTCAAACTAGTTGGTATTGGTATTAGAGGCAAGTTACATGATCTTCCTGATATGTGTAAATGATAATCGATTTAATCAATAAAAATAAATTAATTTATGAGTGATTAAAAGTATTCTGAGTGGATTCATTACACAGAATTGAAAACGAACACACACTCTATCGTTATACCAAGTAAATCGTCTAATTTTAATTTTAACAAACGTCAAAAAACTACTCATTTTCCCAAACTTTGATAATTTTTAAAATTAAACTACTTGTCGTAAGGCCGTAATATTTCAGTA